CCCCCACACAGAACACCCTGCTGGGGGCACCGACCTGCCCGCGCAGCCCGTTCTCCTGCCCCCATGGCGCCCCCTGCTGGGGGGCACCGACCCGCCCGCGCAGCCCGTTCTCCTGCCCCCATGGCGCCCCCTGCTGGGGAGGTCCCACCTGCCCCACTACTCATAATGTCCACACCCGCCTTGCCAGCGCCCCTGCCCGCGGCTGAGGCCATGGCAGGAGTGGGGCAGGCTGCCGTGGGGCTGGGACCTCGCAGTGACCCTGACGCGGTGCCGTGCTGTTGTTGCAGACCCGTCGGCGCCCCCCGAAGCCTGCCCCCCCTGGGCGGGCGCCCCCACGGCTGCGGCAGCTGGAGGAGGGCGATCGGGGGCTGCGTCCGCTTGGCCAGCGAGCTGCAGGGGCACCTGGCCCGGCTGGCTGCCGAGGTGAAGAGGTGTCTGGGCAGCCCGGAGGCCGAGGAGCGCCCGCCCCGGGCAGAGGCTGCGAGCACCAACCGGACGGCGCAGCCGTGAGCTCGCGGGTCGGAGGCCGGTCGTCCCCCCTGGCAGCGTCCCCGGGCACAGCTCCCGCAGCCATGGAGCTGGGATCCCCGCGGACGGATGGGGACACCCACCTCGTGGCAACGGCTTCGCGTCTGCAGGGCGTGACCACCACTCCGGGGGGCCGGGATCCTGCGCGCACATGGGGACACAGGCCCCGTCTCCCCTATGGGGCTCTGGGGTGACTTGAGCCGCTGGGGACGCCGGGGGCCGGACGTCAGATGGGGGAGGCCGGCTGGGTACAGGGGCTGACGGCTTGGCGTCCGTGGGGGGGTCTGTGTCCCTGCCCTGCTGGCTGAGCCGCTGGGAGACCCCGGGTAGCGAGCTGGGCGGGGACAGCGGGGTGGGGGCGTCCATGGGGGGCTGTTGTTCGGCGTGTCGGGAGGGGGCTGCGCGGTGTGTGATCCCTGCCCAGCGCAGCCCCCTCCCCGACACGCCGAACAACAGCCCCCCTGGACTGCAGCACACGGATAAGGAATAAAACGCTGTGTTGATCAATACAAAGTGACGCACACTGGAAAACATCATCCCAACGATAGATACAGGATGATGGGGCTAAATTAGCTGTCACCACTCAAGAGAGATCTCCGAGTCACTGTGGCGAGGTCTCTGAAAACACCCTCGCAGTGGGCAGCGGCCGTCACAAAAGCGACCAGAATGCTGGGAATCCTCAAGAAAGGGAGAGATGATAAGGCTGAACGTATCATGTTGCCTCTCTATTGATCCCTGGTTTGCCCACGTCTTGAACACTGGGTGCGATGTGGTCGCCCCATCTCAAAAAAGATAGACTGGAATTGGAAAAGGTTCAGAAAAAGGCAACAAAGATTAGGGGTATGGAGAGGAGAGATTAATCAGACTGGGACTTTTCAGCTTGGAAAAGAGACGACTAAGGGGGGATATGATAGAGGTCTATAAAATCATGACTGGTGTGGAGAGAGTGAATCAGGAAGTGTTATTTACTCCTTCTCATAACATGAGAACTAGGGGCCCCCCAATGAAATTAACAGGCAGCAGGTTTAAAACAAACACACAAAAGCATTTTTTCACACCACGCAGTCGACCTGTGGAACTCCCTGCCAGAGGCTGTTGTGAAGGCCAAGACTATAACGGGGTTCAAAAGGGAGCTAGGTAGATTCATGGCAGCTAGGGCAATCAATGGCTATTAGCCAGGATGGGCAGGGAGGGTGTCCCTAGCCTCTGTTTGCCAGGAGCTGGGAATGGGCGACAGGGGATGGGTCACTTGATGATTCTCTGTTCTGTTCATTCCCTCTGGGGCACCGGGTACTGGCCACGGTCGGGAGGCAGGACACTGGGCTAGGTGGACCTTTGGTCTGACCCACTATGGCTGTTCTCCTGTTCTTATGCTCATCACGCACCCTGTGTCCTGCTGCCAACTGGTGTCCGTGTGTCCTTATCCCTGGCGGCTCCGGCTCCAGCCCCTGTGGGGGGGTGTGCAGCGACTGGGTCCAAGTCTTCTCCCCACAGTCATTCGCCCTGGGCTTCACCCCCCAACGTCTCCCGATTCCCCACTGGGCCCTGTGCTGGAGTGGCCCCCTGCCAGGGTGGGCAGGTTTTGGGCTACGCTGAAGCCTGCTCTGGTCTGCCTGCCCCAGAGCCCCCCGGCGGCACCGGGCCCCTCCACCTGCTAGGGAAGGCGGTGCCGGGCGGTGGCGTCGTGGTGAGCAGAGGCGGGTAGGGCCGGTGCGAGCCGGGCATGGCTGAGCAGTTGCTGAGAGCTGTGGCCAATGCCTACGGGGGCGGTGGTGCCAGGCCGCCAGCGTGTGCTTAGCCCCACAGCGCAGGAGGGAGGAAATGCCGCATGCCCCACGGAGACGGGGGTGTCTCTGGTTACCCACGTTTCCCCTGGACTGTGGGGGTCCCGGGCCAGGCTGACTGCCCCGGGCCTCAGGGGACACCCCGTCTGCTCCCCTGGGGACTGGGGGGAGCTCCCCGCATGCACCTCCCCCTCTCCACCACATCCAGGGTGCCCTGGGCCAGGGCCTGCACCCCCCTTTGCACCCTGCCCCGGGCAGTGCCGCCTGCAGGAGCCCTCAGGGAGCGACGGCCCCCATGCCCACCGGGGGGGGCGGGGAGCTGCTGCCCCATACCCGGCTGGGAGGAGGGCCTGGACAGAGCAGGCCAGGAGAAGCGGGGGTCTCTGTGGGGTCGCCCAGGAGGTTGGCACCCCAGGGGACCCCCAGGGCCTGGACCCCCAGGCCTGGACGTGGAGCCAGACGAGGGCAGCGCTGCCCCCAGCCGGCCGGCCCGACCCCAGCTCCCAGCGCCGGGCGAAGGGCCCCCCTGCCGGGAGCGGACACAGCCCTACCCAGAGGCGCAGCTGCCCTCACACGGGGCGGGGGGGGGGCGGTCCGGCCGTGGCTGCGGGGCGCGGAGGCTGCGGGGGCCCGGGGGGGGCCACGGCCAAGGGCTCCGAGCTGCCCCCCCCGGGGGCCGGGCGGGGCGGGAGCTGCCAGCAGCGAGGGGAGGCGCAAACATTTTGCGCAATTCTCCAGCTTTCGCTGCGCCCTGTCCGGGGGGGCAGCTCGGCCCTGCCGCTCACAGCCCCCCCTCCCGAGGTCAATGGCGGGGCAGGGGCAGGGGCAGGGCGGGGCGAGCAGCGGATCGGGGAGGGGGGGCTCAGTACGGGGGGGGGGCTGGGGTCCCTGCGCTCAGGGGCTGCGGCGCTTCTGGCTGCGCAGAAAGTAAAGTCTGGGGCTAAGGCAGAGAAACGAGCCAGGACTCCTGGGTTCTTTCCTGGCTCTGGGAGGGGGTGGGGTTTGGTGGTTAGAGCAGGGGGGCTGGGAGCGAGGACTCCTGGGTTCCCGGCTCTGGGAGGGGGTGGGATTTGGTGGTTAGAGCAGGGGGGCTGGGAGCGAGGACTCCTGGGTTCTTTCCTGATCTGGGAGGGGAGTGGGGGCTGGTGGTTAGAGCAGGAGGTCTGGGAGGGGGTGGAATCTGGTGGTTGCAGCGGGAGGGGGGGGCGCTGGGAGCCAGGACTCCTGGGTTCTCTCCTCAGTCTTCCAGTGATTTGCTGCAGCGCCTTGGGCTGATCTCCCAGCCTCAGTTTCCCCAACTGTGCAGTGGGGATAGCAGCAGTCCCCCTACCCCGCAGTGCATCAGGGAGGCCTGTCTATCCCCTGCAGCCTTCCCCGAGGTGAGATGTGGGGCAGGGGGTGATCGCTGGGGACCTCCCCCAGAAGCTGCTTGTCACGGAGTGTGGGGGAGTCCAGGCCCTGCACCCCTCTTCCTGGGATCCACTGAGACTCTCAGCCAGCCAGTAAAACAGAAGGTTTATTGGACAACAGGAACACAGTCCACAACAGAGCTTGTGGGTACAACCAGGACCCCTCAATCACGTCCTTCTGGGGGAGCAGGGAGCTTAGACCCCAGCCCTGGGGTTCCCTGCGTTCCTCCCCCCCCGGCCTCCAAACTGCCAACTCAACCCACCCAGCAGGTTCCCTGCTCCAGCCTCCGTCCACATTCCTGGGCAGAGGTGTCACCTCCCCCTCCCCCTCCTCGCTCAGGTGACAGGCTCTCAGGTCTCCCATCCCCAGGGCACATTCCCAGGTCAACACTCCCCCCTCCCTGCTGAGTCACATCGTCACATCTCTCCCCCCTTCGAGACTGAACTGAGCGGGGTCACTGTGACCAGTGACCTGGGGAAGTTCGGGGCCCCCTCTCCGGGACAGCGCATCCGCT